GTCTATAAATATTTAGGGTTTAGGAAATTGAATTGTGACAGCTAGAAAGCGTCACAAGGTAGTCAAAAATTGGCGACTACTTTACGACGGCCAATTCAAATTGTGACTACTTAGCGACTATGTACCCACTAACCTTAAGAATCTTTATAAGAAAACAACAATTTCTAAGTATATAGGACTTATTTTTGGTTTATACATGGTACTGAAGTGCATGAAACTCCTTGTAATTTAAACAAAAACTATATCAATTAAGAATTCAAAAAACAATATTTACAAGTATTTAGAGAAACTCATTGTAATTTAAATCTTATATTGTTCAACTTTATTTTTTTATTGTAAATTACCTTGATTAGGACTAGTTTATCTTGGATATACTCAAACAAATCGGTAGGTAATAGAATATTTTAAGATTTTTGCCAAATATTTTGGGATTTTTCACCAAATATTTTGAAATTTTTTGCCAAATATTTTGGGATTTTGGGTGGGTTAACTTTTCCCCCTAAAACTTGTTTTTTTGTCTAATAAATAAAACCAAATCATTAGTTCAATACCCTAGTTTTTCTACTCTCTTCCGCCTCTCTTTCTCTCTATCCGTAGGCGAGATTTTAACCCTCTTTTCCTAAACTAAATCTTCGATTCATCATCTTTCTCTTCTAAATCTCTTCGATTCTTCACTTTCCTCCTCTAAACCTCAACTTTTTCGTTTCATCTCTCTCGATTCTTTTTTTTCTCTTTCTCTATGTCGATTCTTCTCTTTGAATCTAACCCAGATTGAAGAAATCCCTTTTGGCGGTGGTGGAGAGACCTCACGCGGACAACGAAACCGTGACGGCGGAGGTACACCACCAGGAATAACAAAGTCAACCGGCGGTCATGTTGGTTCTAATTCCTCCAACCCGTCTGGTCCGAGTACGCCTCCTTCTCAAGGGGCAACGTCGTCTCAAGCCACTGCCTCTGTCTCTCGAACCAACTTGGTTCCATGACAGTATCCTTCTACAACAAACCGGAGTGGTTCTCAGAGGCAGTTCTTCAACACGGGAGTAGATTCGCCGGAGAGATAAAAAATGGAGAAGAAACGTGAAGGAGTAATCGAAGCAATGAGTCTGATCGTATCAGATCCTTACTATTTCCTCCATTTCATGGCCTTCTTCTCTTACCTTCCGATTCGCAATTTCGCTTCACAATACACTTCTCATCGACTCTTCGATAGAGAAATCCAAGCATTTCTAGCGTTTCTTATGTTTTTCGCTATTAAGGTTTGAGTTCTTTCTTCATATTGATTCGAATTTTCTTAAATCTCTTTTACTTCCTGCTTCATCGATTGTTCGAAATCGTTTGTAGATGGTGAGGGAAGAAACATGGGAGGCTTTCTTTGCTGATAGTTTGCTCTATGCTAAAGTAAACTCTTGATTTGATTCAAAAATTGATTTGTCACTCACTTCATGCTAAATCTCCTAATACACATTTTGATTGCCCAGTCTTTCTCATTGCGGTTTTGTTGATTATAGATTATCGAGTGGCGATTTGGGAGATGCAGATTTGAATGTTGAATCTTTCTAATTTTGATTTGAAAGTTTCGTTTTGCAGTGATATATCTTTTAGCTCAACAACCAGCATTTAGTAAATTAGGTATGGGAAAGAGTTAAAGTTTATTGCTTTCTGTGAATTTTTGGAATCAAAAGTTGCGTTATTGTAAAGTTGCTTAAACGAATTTGCAGGAACTGCGATGAAGCTAACACCAATACAGTTGGAAGATTTGTTATCTGAAGGGAACACAACAAAGTATTGGTTGGTATGTGCAACTTGGTCTATCTTCTACTAGCTTATGTTGTTGCTCTTTCAAATTAGTGAGGTTGTGATTGTAGATGGATACATGGTTGTGAATGAGTAGTTTCTGGTTAAAGAAAATGACTTTTATTTCCATAGAGCAGAGCGTTCACTCAGATTCCAATACAGAAATGATATTTATAAAGCTAGATGTTACGTATAGCTCCCAATACTATCATGACATCAAATTTTGTCCTACTTTTCTGTTTAGTTGCCATTCATTTAAGAAACAGATTTGATCTGCAATATATGACATTGTAAAATATGGATCAAAAGAGTACTGTTGTAGCGGCTTTTATGATGATGTGGTTTTCACACCTTTTGCAGATAGAGTTCTTTGCATGTAGTTCGTCCAAGTGTGTCCGTTCAAGCTGTTGTTTTCCCGAGCTCTCCATCACGTAAACTTTGTGTAAGAAAACACCCCCATTTCACTGCTCGTAGTAATAGACATGTTCACTCATCTTCCACTTCTTTAGGTACTCAAACAATCTTTTGACTTTCGGAACCATCGATCTTGGACTTTCCCCAAAACCGCAGAAAAGTTTGGAATATCTCTTGACTTTCTAACTGTGTTTTTAAGAAACTTATTATGTTATAATCTTTTGTACTCTATAACTTCTTCTCTTGTCAAGCAAGCTAAATGCTTGAAAACTTATGTTCTTTAATTTTAAGACTTCTTATCATGCTAATCTTTTGTAGTTTTAAGATTTTAAGTTCTTATTTTGATTTAGGTTTCTCAAATCAAAACAAAAATGTATATGTTTTAAGGGACAAAAAAATGACCAATTTGCAACTGAATATTGAATATAAAGAGAAAAAAAAACAAATGCGTCGCAAATTAGTGTCTAACAAGTGACACTTTAGTGACTAGACACGATCTTTAGTCATTTCAAAAAGTCTCTAATATGTCGCTTATTTACGACTACATTAGTCGTCACAAATTAGTATCAATTTAACGACTGTCTAACGTGTTGCTACTTAGTCGTTATTTTCCCACCACCTTTTGTAGTCACAAAGTCGTCGCTACTATGTGACAACATGTATATGTTACAATGTAGTCGCCAATTTGCGACCACAATAATCTTGTCACCATATAGTCGTTGTTTTGCTACTACAAATCGTTGTCACCACGTAGTCGCTAATGTGCGATTAATTTGTGACTGCTTAAATTAGCGATGATCATTTAGCAACTATCCGTTTTAGTCACTAAGTAGTCGCAAATAGGTCATTTGTGACTACTTTGTGACGAAATAGGGTGTCACAAATGACATGTTTTTTTGTAGTGAATGAGTATGTGGGATCGGAGGGATTCACGTGATGGATTCTTGTAAATGTAAAAGGATAATAAAAAAATATTCTTTCAATATTTAGTTAATAAAATTAGACCTATCTCTTGAAAGAAAAAGGGGAATTAGCTATCACTTTTTAGTCCTCTCAAATAACCTATTCGATCTACGTTCCCGGGCAATTCTAACATAACGACTAAATCCAAACGTATTTAGGATTCCAAAAATCAGACCCGAATGGCAATCAATTGTTAAACATATATGTTTCATGTAAATGTAACGAAGAATTTATATATAGTTAAAAAATTTCATCGCTATGATAATTATATTGTAACAAATTAGTAGCCAACGTGTCATTTGATTGTCAATTGGTTTGTGTTATAAAGATTTACTTTATTATGACATCATTATTATTAACGTTGACGTCGGTCACTTTCTTTGGTTTGCCAATCAATATGATCGACGAGTTGTGCATGATGGATTTGCATGCCTAAATTCTGTTTTATCAAATTGAAAATTACGTAGTTGTCTCTCCAAAAAAACAATTTGTCTTACTTAACAATAAAGAGAGCATAACCACTTACAATCACAACCCGTTAACGGTTTCTTATCACAGTGGCAATGATTTTTTGGATAAGATTAAAAGAGCACGCATCCGCCACAGCGAAAATCCTTCTGACGTTCCGTTTTGGTGAACATTCCAAAAATCGCTAAGAATAATTATTTGAATACGTAAGGTTCAACCTAGCTATATGAGAATTTTTTGTCACTTGGCATCCATCACAAGCATGTTACTAACATTAGTCACCGTCAACAACTAATACTATATATTTGCCGATAACAACAACAAATGTACTTTTGTATATGAATAGTGAGAATTAAAATTATGGTAAAAAGTGACGCTATTTGTTGTAACAACATATATTACTAGTAACTGTAACACCTTAAATATGTCTCGAGCTGTTAATAACTAGTTTGCTACATCACCAAATTGTCACAATATATCAATATTATTCACCATGGTCTTGGGTAAGTCGGTAACTAAAATATAAATATGTAAGGGCCCGATGTTAATAAACTAAAGGTTTTGAGGAAAAAGCAAATCTATCGACCTCAGACAAGATCGAACATCAAGAAAGGTCTGAAAGCGATATATGTAGTGATAGAAGCTGCCAATTGGTAACCCTAAATATACGGCTAGATTTCAAAAATTAAAAGAAATATACAATTTGGAGGAGGAAAGGATGTGTATTACACAGAGTCCTTCTGGGTCCGATCCCATAGTGAAGTCTGATGAGTCATTACACAACCACAGTGGAAATCGAATGAATGGGACCATTTTTTTAAAGTAAATAATTCATCGAGTAAATGATATAATATATAGTTTTGGAGGTCGTGGGGCAAAGAATGATTTGTCCTGTTGCTCAAACAGTGTCCCAATAGTAGAAGGGTTGTTTTATAGGCAAGTCAGTGTTTAGAGTATTGTCGAGAGCAAATCAAGATAAAAGTTTCCTCACTGTACTGCAGGTTTTCGATGGTCCTATCCTATTTTATCCCGCCATATTCGCGTTTCAATATCTTTTGAATACATCCCATTCCTCGTGTTTATGTTTCACCCAAATTTTGAAAAAATGGTACATTATTATTTGGAATCATATATTTAAGGCTTAAAAATGAACGTCAAATGAAATCTACCAAAGAATCAAATGTTAGATTACGTTTCGGACTAGCATTTGGGCTCTTCAAAACTGATTCTTGAAAAGTTACAAGATTTATTTTTTAAGAGATTTCAAAATGGTAAATCTGAAGTAAAGACAAAAACAAAAGAGCATTAAACAGCATGCAATGGAATCAAAAGAGTAGTTAGAGACATGATAAATGAAACCATTATTGACGAATAGGAAATTTAAAAGGGAGAAGGACACATTTGAGATTTTATAAACTAGAAAACAAAAACAAAAACAAAAACTTGTTAATAATACTACTACAAATTTTTGTTGACACTGGGTCCTACATTTGGACTCTACCTGACACAGATCGGTCACAGTTTCCACTAAATAACATAATATGATTATACAGAAGAAGAGAAGGAGCATTAAGATTCACTGTTACTCTTTTGAACCTTCATTCCCAAACTTCTTCTTCATCTCAGAACAGTTTCAGAACATGCCCCAGTTGCTGCTATTGTTTTTTTTTTTGTCAACTATTTATTTCCAATTGCTGCTATTCACATCTTTACAACTTTATTTTTTCTTTAATTAACAATCAAATAGTATGATTACCATTACTCTAAATATGTTAGTCAATAAAACTTGATTGTCTCAGATTATTGACCCAATAACACAACATTTAGAGACCTCAACTCAAGATAATGATGATTAAAGAAACCGAATATGATTCAACAGTTTTTCTTTTCAGTTACACATGTATATAAGAAAATGAGAGTGTCTCTATCGCTACAGGTCCATCGATGTTAAAAAGATGAAGACAGCTTACCTGGTAACTATATATGCGACGTACTTCTGACTGGAAAAAGGCGGTTTTCCGAATATAGGGTATGTATTATATATTTCAAGTTCTACCATCCACATCGAATCCAGCACCAGTCCAACCTCCTCTGCCTTTGATTATGGTTCCAATTCCTCTTCCCCTTCCTTGATTCTGCAGTTTCTTTTTCGCTTTTGATTCTCCTTCAGCTGTTCCTGGCCTCTGTCCATGTTCTTTACCTCCCTCCTCCTTCCCGTGGTTATTTTCCGGATGGGTCTGATTACCATTCAGTGCTGGTGAGCTGCCTACTACAGATTTAGTCTCCGGTTCATGGACCTAAAGATGGAACACAATCTGAAATATTCAACATCTTTCATGTAAATACTGATCGCCCACCAAATAGATTTTATATTCAACATTTGCAAAAGTATATTAGCCATGGTTAGTACTTAGCAACATACTCATGCAGATATTATCCGGTGTCTCTATTGTTAGAATCAGTTGCATTAGGAGAAACAGATGGAATATAAACTAGAAGGAGAGATCGCTTACTTGCTGAATAGAAGTAGATGATCTATTTGGATTAAGCGCTTCTAGTCTTCTTTTCAATTCCTCAAGTCTGGCGTACTGCGTATTGCTGCTTTCTTGTACCTATGATTACAGTTTTAGAAAATATTTGTGATTTGAATGCCTCTCATTGGGGAAAAAGTTATTCCTCTGATCCGTTTCCAACAAAGATATGTACCAGACTGTTTAAATCTTCGCAAAGCCTCTGCTTTATTGCTTCTTCCTCCATCACAACTTTTGATGCTGCTTCAAATGCCTTTAAAAAACAAAGAACATATCTATAAGAAGTCCATTCAAATAAAAAGAGATGAACTGAGATTCATTAACAATATCTAGACTTTAAAGCTACGGCTAAACAGTCTCAAGAAGAATGAATCATTTAGTCAGTGATTTTCAAAAGTAATTATGAGACCATGATATCTGAAATAGCCATTAACATAGCTAAAACTGTAAGAAAACTCGTTCTGCTATGGGGCTCACACAGGCAACAGGAAATCTCACATCCACCTAAAACTAACTCTATGCCAAGTAAGGTCAGACAAAACAAGACAGGACAAAATGTTGAGATTTATAAGTAAAAGGGAGATACCTTTCGCACTTCATCTTCTCTCAGCTTTGCAGCATGGATCTTTTCAGTACAGGCTTCAATTTTCTTTCGTAAGTGTTCAAGTGCTTAAGATTTTGGAAAACGAAGAAGCAAGCTAAGTTAATCAGCTGTTCAATGAAGCAAACCAAAAACCTATGAAAATGCCAATTGTCAACCTGCTTTCTTAGGTCCAGCGGTGAGTTTCATTTCCATAGTGAGGTTTCCAAATTCCCTTTCGACATCCCTAATTTTTGAATAGTTCTCCTCAATGTATCTACAAAGATCAAATAGAGAAGTTTCATCAGCTTCCCAATAAACAGAACAGAATACGGGCTAACAAAACAGCTAAATTCAATTCTTAGAGCAACCATGAATGGTCTAGTATCATCTCTTCCTTAATTTAACTTTAAACAGACACAAGCAGAAGAATGCAAGATAATTTTCACCACCTTAAATTCCAGACCCCTAAAAGGTGTAAGATGTCGTATCTTATCATCAGATTTGAAACAATGCGACATATTGCAGTGAACAAAATCACTCAACAGATTTCTATTTCCTGATTATATAATCAAGCTTAACATGCTTTCGAATAAGTCCCCTAAAGCAATACCAGTAGCTGCAGCCTAAACGAGTATACCTAATCGCAGGATGCAACAATACATTCCTCTCAAATCAAACAAATCCAACAATTAGAAACATTTACTTACTTCCTCAACTGAAGTTGCTCTTCCTCGATTATCTGGTTACGAAGAAACAAACCATCAAAACAACAGAAATCGCATTCAATCACACGAACACTTGGTTGGAATACACATACATCCAGAGAGAAATATTACCTTCTCTGTGTAAGCAATAACTGGAGCTTCTCTTGCAAGACCATCGGGTCCGATCTCAGCCTTCAGTTTTGGATCCGAAGCCATCATCTCCTTCTTCTCTCTCAACTTCCAGAAATTGATCCCAAAATCTCTTTTACAGAAAACTCAACAAATTCTCCCAACATTCCATTATTCACATTATGCTTCGACTCATCGTGATTCGTCTGGATCCAGGAAAGTGATGAAGAAACGAGAGAATTATCGCCGTTAAGTTAAAAGTTAAAAGCGAAGATTCAACATTCCCTTCTTAACGCCGTTATAACCCCAGCCCCATTCCCAATCAAGTTTTGACTTCATAATTTACGGAGGGAGGTGTCACGTGATTCTCACGTTCTATCCAACATAATTATCGGTTACGTAAACCATTATCCGGTTTGACTAACAATTTAATGGTTCGCTTCGGTATTATATACGTTCACGAGATTTGTCGTGTTCCGACCAAGACACTGCGTGTCGTTCTTTGCCGATAAAAACGGCATGCAGTTTAACAAAAATATACTTTATATTTCTTCCTTTTAGAAAGAACCTAACTGAATATAACCAAACCTGAAACCACCCCAACACTAAAACTCCGGGAGATCAACAAACTAAAAACACAACATTCTCGAGTTCCTATAAACTGGG